TCTGCAGGATCCAAAGCGCGAAATAGAGAAGGTGCTCCAGTTTCTGGAAAAGGACCTGAAGGAGGAAGTGGTGAATAAAATCCTCCAGCATACCTCCTTCCAGGAGATGAAGAAGAATCCTACTGCTAACTATGAAATGATGCCAACCTGGGCTATGGACCACAGTGTGTCTCCATTCATGAGGAAAGGTAAGAGGCTTACAGGAAAGGCCAGTAAGATAACAGCAGGAACAGTTTTCTACAATTCTTACTAGCTCCTGATTCCACTTTCACAGGAAGGGAAATTCCCAGAGTGAGTATTTTTCTCTGTTAGCCAAGCCCAGTTAATGGTGGAGCTGCATATGGAAGGCCCAGCTCAGATAAATTACCATAAGGAAGGTTCTCCTGTTTAGTTTCTAGCATGCAGATCCTGGTGTAGCACTCTGGAGAGCATGACTGATCTTGTGGTTTTGGCACTAACTGGGGCTTCAGGAAATTTGGGTTCTGTTTCTTGCTCTGATATTGACTCGCTATGTGGCATTGGGCAAGTCTCTGAGGCCCTGAAATCAATGGATATTAGGAGCCTAAATATCTTTGAGGAGGTGGGCCTTGACTTCCATGTGCCTCACTTTTGCCATCTGCAAAATGGGGATATCCAGAAGGACGTGCCCTTGTTCGTTTACACCAGGGGTCAGCAACCTTTCAGAAGTGGTGTGCCAAATCTTCATTTATTCACTCTAATTTAAGGTTTCGCGTGCCAGTAATACATGTTAACGTTTTCAGAAGGTCTCTTTCTATAAGTCTATAATACATAACTAAACTATTGTTGTATGTAAAGTAAATAACGTTTTTAAATTTTTTAAGAAGCTTCATTTAAAATTAAATTAAAATGCAGAGCCCCCTGGACTGGTGGTCAGGACCCGGGCAGTGTGAGTGCCACTGAAAATCAGCTCATATGCCGCCTTTGGCACGCATGCCATAGGTTGCCTACCCCTGGTTTACACTATAAACTCCTCCGGGCACAGTTTGTCTCATACTATGTCAGCGTACAGTACGTACCCCAGTGGGGGACTTCAGGTGCAATCCAAATAATATTAATGATTTGCCATTCCTGGACCTGAGTTAATATGTGACTGTGGCCTGCAGGAAGAGATCACAGATATCAGTGTCCTCAATTTGGGAGTGCACACAATATCCATTGACAGTTCAACAATGCTAATTACTGTTGGTGTTTCTTGCATGCATCTTAAAAACAATTGTTTGGATACAAAGATCCTCTTCTCTCTTGAGAAGGAAAAATAGACACTGGCCTAGGTTTTCCAAAGTTCCTGGTACTTTTGGGTGACCAGCCTGAGACCCCTTTTAAGGGTTTGAGTTTTTGAAGGCGGGTACTGAGCATTTTCTGAAAATTGGGGACCCTTAAAGGTGTCTCAAGTTGAGCATCCAAGATCCCTCGGAAGTTTGGAAAATGTACGTGCATTAATCATACCTCTGAGATGCATGACTGGTGTGAAGAGATGTTCCGTAGGACCCCTCTGCCCACGACACACACACAGTCCCCAGCAGTGAGGACAATGTAAAGTTTGTGTGAACCCCATAAACCTCAAAGGACTGGCCCCTCAAATAAATGTTTCCTGCTGCTTCTAACCTTAACTTGCTTAACTTGAAAGTCTCATGCAGCCTTTTGATCTGCTACATTTTCTCCTTTGTTCCTGTTAAGCATCTAGGCAAAGAGAACACCAAAAACCTGACTTAGAATTCTGTCTGAATAGCCCTAGGACCACAGTGCTATACTAGGGCCTTTTGGACTATCTTTGGGAAAGAAGATAACAGAAACAGAACCTCAGAAGTGGGGCAGGAGCCCAGAAGGGGAGAATAAACTAGCCATTCTTTTGTTTTCTTCCCATCAGGGATGTCAGGAGACTGGAAGAATTACTTCACCGTGGCTCAGAATGAGATATTTGATGCACATTATAAAGAGCAGATGAAAGGCTCGACATTCAGATGCCAAATGGAGATATGAAGAAAAGGCTTCCCTATGTTTCATCAGACAAATGCTAGCTGTCTAAATACTAAAATAGGTGAACTGCCTGGCCTTAAATGAGGATATTGATATAATAGGCATCATGGAAACTTGGTGTAATGAGGATAATCAGTGGACTTGCAATAATACGAGGGTACAAAATATATAGGAATGACAGAGCTGGTGGGGGAGTGGCACTATATGTGAAAGACAGCATAGTCAAGTAAAGTAAAAATCTAAAATGAATTAAACTGAACCATAGAATCGCTATGGATAGAAATTTCATTTTGAATAATCAGAGTATAGCAGTAGGAATATGCTACCGACCACCTGACCAGGAAAGTGATGGTGACTTTGAAGGAGTTTAGAGAGGCTATGAAGACAGAAAACCCAATAATAATGGGGGATTTCAACTGTCCTCATATTGACTGGGTACATGTCATCTCAAAAAGGGATGCAGAGGTAAAATTTCTAGACACATTAAATGACTGCGTCTTGGTTCAGCTTGTCCTGGAACTCTCAAGGGGAGAGGTAATTCTTCATTTTAATCCTAAGTGGAGCACAGAATATGGCCAAGAGGTAAATATAGCTGAACATCTCAGTAATAGCGACAATGATGTAATTAAATTTAACATTCTTGGAGGGGGAGAAATGCCAAAGAAACCCACCACAATAGCATTTAACTTCAAAACAGGCAACTACACAAAAATGAGGAAGCTAGTTAGACGGCAGTTAAGAGGAACCGTTACAAGAGTGAAATGCCTGCAAACTGCATGGAGACTACGTAAAAGCACCATAACTGAGGCAGTAAAAGGACCAAAAAAATTCCACCATGCGTAAGCGGCTGAATAAAAGAGATGATTAGAGGCTAAAAGGTATCCTTTAAAAATTGGAAGTTAAGTCCTAGTGAGGAAAATAGAAAGAAACATAAATTCAGGCAAGTCAAGTGTAAATGTATGATATAACAGACCAAGAAAGAATTTGAAGAGCAACTAGCTAAGTACACAAAAACTAACAGCAAAAAAAGTACATCAGAAGCAGAAATCCTGCCAAACAGTCAGTGGATCCACTGGATGATTGTGTTGCTAAAGGAGCACTCAGAGATGACAAGGCTCTGGCAGAGAAGCTAAATTAATTTTTGAATTGGTTTTCACTGAAGAGGATGAGGGGGATCCCCACATCTGAGCCGTTCTTTTTAGGTGACAAATCCGAGGAACTGTTGATTGAGGTGTCAGTAGAAGAGTTTTCAGAACAAACTGATAAATTAAACAGTAATAAATCACCAGGACCAGAGGGCATTCACCCAAGAGTTCTGAAGGAACTCAAATAAATTGCAGAACTACTAACTATGGTTTATTTAAATCAGCCTGTGTACCAGATGATTGCAGGATAGCTAATGTGATGCTGATTTTTAAAAAAGGCTCCGCACAATGTAGTAAAATGGTTAATAACTAGAAGAACATACTTGGCAGCAGTGAGGTCCAGTGGTTAGAGCACTGGGACCTGCACTCTGACTGGGAGTAAAGTGACCTGCACTCTGACAATGACTTGCTGTGTAACCTTAGCCAAGTCTCATAACTGTTCTGTTGATGAGATTTATGTGCTGCTGCCATAAATTAGAGCTACTCTGACTTACGCCAGGGGCCACTCTGGCTCCTGAAACAGTTTTAAGCTACCTTGGCACCTCCCTATCCCAGCTGCAAAATCCCACCTTTTGTCTCAGTTTTTCCCTTCTGTACCATGGGGATGGTGATGCTTAATGCACTACTGGAAGGTGCTCAGATACCTATAAAAACCTATATACAAATAGAATAAAGTGCTGGAGCTTATTATTAAAAGCACTGAAGAGACTTAGGAGCACATGTCCCGCTGAACGTCAATATGACGTGTACTTCTTAGGCACTTTTGAAAATCCCACCCACTCACCCTCTTTTGTAAGGCACTTTGAGACCTGTGGATGCGCTTAGTAAAAGCTAAATATTATTAATCTAATTCCTCATTGCCCTGTCAATGCAAGCATTAACAAAGTACAGTAACTCCACTTTGAAAATAGATATTCATCATGTCTCTTGGTTATACGAACTTATACAATTGCCAAGTGCCTTTGGAAACCATTTTTGTATGCAGTGTTGTTGTAGCCATGTTGGTCCCGGGGTATTGGAGATACAAGGTCGGTGAGGTAACATCTTTTACTGGACCAACTTCTATTGGTGAGAGAGACGAGCTTTTGAGCTTACAGAAAGGTGAGACCCGAAGAAGAGCTCTATATAATCTCGAAAGCTTGTCTCTCTCACTAACAGAAGAAGTTGGTCCAATAAAATATATTACCTCCCCCACCTTGTCTCTCTTTTTGAACTATTGTCCATTTCGATCCTATTCTTGAGACTTTCCTTCTTATTCTATGGTATAATGATCACCTTAAAAATTATCCCTTTAATAGAGAACAAAGTTTGTTACTAACTGCCAGTCACTGAGTTAATGTTCAGAATCTCCATTGAAGCTGAAGAACTGAGGGGCAGTTTAGTTGTAGGCTTTTAATAAGTTGATGGGAGGCTGGGATCCCTTTCTGAGCAGTAGCTCTTGCACTCAGGTAGCTTTTGCCTTCAGCAGGGCCGGCTCCAGGCACCAGCTTGTCAAGCAGGTGCTTGGGGCGGCCACTCTGGAGAGGGGCGGCACATCCAGCTATTCGGCGGCAATTCGGCGGTTGGTCCCTCACTCCGGCTCGGAGCGAAGGACCTTCCGCCGAATTGCTGCCGCAGATCGCAATTGCGATCGCAGCTTTTTTTTTTTTTTTTTTTT